TAAAATTTTAGTCTGGAAAACATTTTTCATCTATTAAAAGTAGAAAACATTTTCTATCTAAACAAATTTTTCATTTGATCATGAAAAACGATTCTATTAAATTTTATTTTTTATTGTTCTAAGCGCCATAACATTTTTCAAGTAAAAAAGTTTTACATGAAAGTACATCTCGAACTCTTGAAACTACCTTTCTATCCTGGCTTGCTCCTCCGGCGTCGGAAGTAGAATTACCAAACAAAAGGGGATGGGGATAGACAGGAAGTGAAGACGGTCATACAAAGGCCAAACAACAAGAAGCACTCAACTACTAGTCTACTCTTTTAGTTGACTATGCTTGTGATAGTCTGTTGTAAGATATCTAGTTTTGTGATTTTCGACAAAAAAAAGGCCTATCCAGGTTGGATTCGCTATCATTCATGACTTGTATTTTAGTCGGTCTGGAATGCCTTTGTAGTGAAATGAATGAGCAAGAGTTGTTTAAGAAAGACATGGAACATCGCTCTCCGTGGCAGCATGGTGGGAAACAGATATTGATTCAGTCGGAGGTAGACTGCACTAATGAAATTCTTTTTCACGTAAAACAAACGTTCCTTCTATTACTCTAAAGTCTCTTCTTTTTTTTTTATTTTTTTATTTAATCCTAATATTGCTATTTAAAATCTTGCCATTATTTATTATTTATTTGTAATGTACATAAATTTATTACTCGATCAATTATTATTATTATTATTATTACAAATACATCACTCGAGATTTTTTGAAAGGAAATTTTGTCAAAATCCAATCCTAGTAAAACTTTTATACATTAAAGACAAACACAATGAATTTTTTTTTGAAAAGTCCAGCACACACTACTATTACCAAAATATCTTCAGTGAGTAATTTAATATTTTAAATTTTAAAATGATATAAATTTTGATTTAGATGCCGCTTTTTAATAAAATTAATATTTTTAAAATTCTCTCGTCAAGATCTATCAAATAATATCAATATTGGCTATGAAATTCTGTATAAAAAGAATTGTAAAATTTTTACTGTCGAAATTAACATCAATAATAAAATCTTACTTTGTTTCACAGCAAATTTACTGTAATTTTAACTTTTAGGGTAAATTACACTTTAACCTCCTGTGCTTTGCCCAAAACACACAAAACCCCCTAATAGTTTCATTTGTAACAGTTAAACCCCTAGACTTAATACCAAACTGTAATTTTGAACGGACGTAACAAAAGTAATAAAAAGTCATAAATGGCCCTATATATTTTACACTCAGTCATTTCATTTGTATTATTTTGTATCTCTCTCTCTCTCTCTCTCTTTCATATATATATATATATATATATATATATATTTTCTCTCTCACCATTACCACCACCACTACCTTTCAACACCAAATCCACCTCATTCACCCATTTTCACAACCAAGTTCCATCGCCACTACCATCAAGTTCCACGATCACCATCATCGCGAGCTCCACGTCACTGCTAGACTGTCACGACCACCATCGCCTAGCTCCGTCAAAACCAAGAACCGCCCTTTACAAAGTGCTATGAAACAGCAGAAGATGGTGGATGATGAAAAAGAAAAATAGATTTGGAGATGTTTCTTTAGAATGTGTGAAGGTAGTTTTTGGATAACTTTCGACATGCCGAAACCACCCATTTTAGGAAGAAGTGAGAAAACGAGATAGAGTAGGATGAAGTATAGAGCAAGGTGAAAAGATTGGTGAAAGAGCGGGATAAATTTGCTAAGAATCGAGAAAATTATGGAGTCCGAAAGATGAGCCAAAGAAATGTCGGAAACGGGAAAAAAAATCTTATTTTTGGTCATCTTTCAAAGCTCCGACAGAACACGAAAAAAATGAAACGAGGCGTGTGTGGAGTGATATGAAAACTAGGCTGTGAGGTGAATCCAATGAAACAAAAATGAGGCAAAATAGAGTTACGACAAAAGAAATACAAGGGCTTGAAGTGGTGCGTTTGAAACTAAAAATCTTATCTTTTCGGGCTTGTTCGTGCATGTGGTTTGGAGAAGATAGAAATGGGTTTGGTTGGTATGAATCTCATCAATGCTATTTAAAAAATGTAATGTTTCCACATATTAATTGTTTGATTCCATGGGGTGGGTTTGTTACTAATTTGAATCATAAGGAGAAAAGTGTGTTTGGATAATTTTTAGAGAGAGAAAAATGGGTTTGATTCCATGATGGTGGTGATGTTAGTTGGTTGTGATTTTGCATAGAAGGCAATGGTGGTGAGATAAGAGGAGAAATAAAATGTGATGGTGGTGGTTATGCATAGAATATGATGGTGGTGATGTTGGTTGATTGTGATTTTGCATGGAAGGTAATGGTAGTGAGAAGGGAGAAGAAATAAAAGGTGATAGTGGTGGTTTTGCATGGAATATGATGGTGGTGATGTTGGTTGGTTATGATTTTGCATGGAAGGTAATGGTAGCGAGATGAGAGAAGAAATAAAAGGTTATGGGGGTGGTTTTGTATGGAAGGTGATTGTGTTTCATATTTATATAATAAAGGAGAGAAAAGAGATGTTTTGGTCCAAGAGTGTAACCTGCTCTGTTGCACTATACTTTTATGCTCGTGAAGCCCATGTTCTGTTTAAACAAACGGATCCGTCAGAAATTACAGTTTGATATTAAGTATAGGGAATAAAGTGTTACAAATGAAATTATAGGAAAATTCCATACTCTTTGGGCAAACCACAGGGAGTTAAAATGTAGTTTACCCTAACCTTTAAATAGTAAAATACTATCATCATCATTAAAGATCATAGTCACTATAATTATTAATAAATAATTATTAAAACATAACTTTAACATAATAAAATGAAATAATAACTTGAACAGAGTAAAGTTTTACTGTTAATTTAAAACAAAGTATCAGCAAATAAATGAAAGATTATATATTATTACAGCAAACCAGAGTAAAATTTTATTATCACTTTTAAATAGAGTATCAGCAAAATAAAACACTTGACATATATTATCAGAGCAAATTAAAGTAAAATTATTATTATTTAATCCATCTCTCTACTATTACTTCTCCTCCTTAACACACAGAAAGTGGTTAAATATTGGAATGCCCAAAACCAGCAACATTTTTTTAACTAATAAATTATTTTAACATATCTTCTGATTTAAAATAAAGGGAGACTTATTTATAAATCCTTTTTTCAGACAGTTATGGTATGCTGAGTCCTGTGTAATTTCTTATAGAGTCTCAAGTCCTATTTAGATAGACATGTATTCCACAAGATCATACATAAACTTAACGTGACGTGACACTTACATAAACGTAACGTAACGTGACACTTACATAAACATAACGTAACGTGACACCTACATAAACGTAACGTAACGTGACACGTTACGTTTCGCAAACTTAATGAGTTTTTATTTTTTTAAATTGAATGTGAAAATATTGCTGGTTTATGTTGGTGTCACGTTACGTTTCATATAAATATGATCTATGGTAACATTGAATGTTTCCATAGATCATAGGTGTCACGTTACGTTACGTTTATGTAGATATGATCTATGGAAACATTCAATTTCCTATAATTGAATGTTGCCATAAATCGTAGGTGTCACGTTACGTTTATGTAGGTGTTACGTTACGTTACGTTTATGTAAATATGCTCTATGGTAACATGCAATATAGGAAATTACATGTTACCATAGATCATAGGTGTCACATTACGTTTATGTAGGTGTCACGTTACGTTACGTTTATATAGATATGATCTATGGTAACATTCAATTTCTCATATATGGTTTTACTATTATTTATGATATTAACAACTAATATTGGGGGTAAATGTGTCAACAAACTTCTCACAGGACTTATGGGAACATAAATTTTTTAGTAGGATCATATGTAGCATAAGTCTCCCTAATAGGACTTATAAATAATTTTCCCTAAAATAAATAACCTTGTTAATGTACGTCTTATGATCTTATCCTAAAGGGTTGTTTGCTTCATGGGATTAAGGTGTAGGATTAGATTCCATATCCAATAAATTTACTAATCCATCATTTGGTTAGTTTAGTGAAGGTCGAACTAATAGTTAAATACACATCATTTTTAGCTAAATAGTTCGGGACTATTTATTTAAGACTGACTGTTCATTGTATTATAATCCGCCCTTATTAAATCCGTCTAAACAACCACTCTCTAAGGGTATAAGTTACGAAACTTAAAATGATTATATAGATTTTTTAAAGGTACACTGGAAAAACAACAAAACAAACAAGACTAAGCTTTTCTCCTAGACAATCCTATCATATCATACCCCAAAAGGCTCCTAATTTCAACTGATGGTCATTCACCACCAAAATTTCCTCTAATTGATCCGCTCCCACCTTGGCTAGTGCATCAACGCATAAGTTCCCTCTTTGTAGACATGTTGAATTGTGCACTCACATTCTCGCATCATGATCTTGGCATCCACCACTAAACATGCATTTTTATACATTTTTAATACATGCATTTTTATGGACGAAGTACAAGTATTTTAAAAGAAAAATTACACTTCTGTGGGTGCTTTCAAAATAAATTTCAAATCAGTGCTACAAACTTTACCAACATTAATAATCGAAATTATAATCTTTTTCATATTATTGTAATTATTTTTGGTTTTTACCACTAACTCACAATTTTTCCTATTTTAAATTTCTTCACATGCTCCATAAAGAGACATGTTTACAATATCCAAAAATAAATTACTACAAATCTATCAAATTATTCTATATAATTTTTGCGTCAACAATGATTCATCCCACTAAAAACATCACCACTAATAGCACTAATGCATTAAAAAAGTAAAAATAAATAAATAAAATACAACTCCAAGACCAAAACATCACATCATTAATGGCGGGACCCACTGCCACCTAATTAGTGGGAGCACTAATTAGTGCTCCCAAGCATTTTTCTTTTTGCATTTACATATCATTACTCAAAATTAGCTTTCCTATCCAGTTATCTTCCAAAAGTAAAGATGTATTACTGTCATTTGGGTTGTCTTACCATGCAAAGATATAAGTTGTATCGAAATTATTTAACATAACTAGTGTTTACAACCTCAAAATGCTGATAATATCCAAGAGAGGAAAAATAAGTTTCACTATCCAAATGATTAAAGAATGTCTCCACTGAACCCAGATGTTTGGAAAGGGATTTACTAAGTAACCTTGGTCACATCGTTGCCGAGTTCCATAATAAAAAATGTAATCAAATCTAAAAGAACTAAAAAGTACTCTGTACAGAGAATGAGTCAATGTCTTGTTCCAAGTAGGGACCAAAAGATAATAATAATAATAATAATAATAATAATAATAAAAACATGTACTGCTTCAAGCAAGTAAGAGAAGCAAAATTCAATTTAGACCCAAGACAGCCTCCAACAGAAAAATGTGTACGGTATTCAAGGCCACATCATCTCGTAACTTTGTAACCCTGCATTTAAAATAAAATACAAAACATTGATTAGATCAATGCAACAAAAAGATTACAAAATAAAATAATTAAAAAAAAAAAAACTACAAAAAGAATGAAGTACCAAGTTTTGAGTTCTTGTGATCTTTTATTTTTTGGATAGGGAGTTCTTGTACTCTTAATTCAATAAAATTGAAAAATGAACCTCCCAATTCATTAAAAAATTTATAAAGAAAAAAAGAACATTTGGGGAACAAAACAAGGCAAAGATACAGAACACACACATACCTTTACCCTTTTCAATAGCTCCTTGGCAGCAGGATCATTCTTGAAATGATCACGTACAGGCTGCAGAGTACGAGGAATGTTGAGTCATAATGATGATAATAAAATGGACAAAAAGCAGTCCGCCATTGCCCAGTGTATTAGAATAAGAAAAACCATGATCAATCTCTACAGAAACAGGTGACATTTATTTCCAGACTAGGGAAACTGATTCCCCCTCTGAACAATCTAAGACAATGACACAGATCAATTTGGCAATCTGATTTTTGCACATACAAGAGAACCACAATCAGCCTACTCATCGAGGATGACTGCAGTCCATAGATGATGTTGTATACTTCCATGCCAATTTCAAGAGGAATGCTTTGAAAGATTTCGAGAGAAATGCAGGGAGTATTAGGGAGTATTACTACTTTCTTGTTTAATGCTGGTAACAAACAAATAAATTATCACATCGAATGCATGCTTATCCAACTTCCCTGTTTAATGTTGGTATTGGTAACGAACAAATCAATTATTACATTAAATGCATGATTTTCCATAGATTACAAGCTATGTAACATGGACTCTTCAAAATAAATCAAATACCTATGTTGGACAACCGATACTTTGACAAAGGTGTGGAACATGTCCAATAATCTTCATTGGACAATTTTTATATATTTATATTTAACACTAACATTATATGAATTATTGTATAATTGCTATAAAATGTGTCAAATGCATTTTTAAATCTCACATAGTTAATTAAAAATATAAAAATAAGACCATTTTTTGCGGAGTCCGCATACACTTAAATTTGAGGTTTGATAGGTCCAACATCACATATGCACCCACACCCGACACTCGTACCCAAGTCCATGTAACATAGGAAGTGCACAAGTTGAATTATGTTGAAAATTTATAAAATTTTAAACCGCCAAACCGATTCGCATCCATCCGCCAAACCGCCAATCCGCTCAATCCACATCCGCCGGATTGGCGGACGGATGCGGATTGATTTTCTTCAATCCGCCAATCTGGCGGACGGATGGCGGATTGGAGGTTCCGTGGCCGCAACCGACCCGCGCCCACCCCTAACTGCAGTCCATAGATGATGTTGTATACTTCGTGCCAATTTCAAGAGGAATGCTTTGAAAGATTTCGAAAGAAATGCAGGGACTATTAGGGAGTATTACTACTTTCTTGTTTAATGCTGGTAACAAACAAATAAATTATCACATCAAATGCATGATTTCCCAACTTCCTTGTTTAATGTTGGTATTGGTAATGAACAAATCAATTATTACATTAAATGCATGATTTTCCATAGATTACAAGCTATGTTACACAGACTCTTCAAAATAAATCAAATACCCATGTTGGACAACCGACACTTTGACAAAGGTGTGGAACATGTCCAATACTCTTCATTTCACAATTCTTATATATTTACATTTAACACTAACATTATATGTATTATTGTATAATTGCTATAAAATGTGTCAAATGCATTTTTAAATCTCACATAGTTAATTAAAAATATAAAAATATGACTATTTTTTGCAGAGTTTGCATACTCTTAAATTTGAGGTTCGATAGGTCCAACATCAAATATGTACCCACACCTGACACTCGTACCCAAGTCCATCTAACATAAGTTACAAGACAATAATGGAAATAGATAAGAGATGGGCCAATTGAGTACAAAAAAGGTATGAAGGGGTGAATCAACCCCAAATACTTCAAATCTAGAACTGGGTATGATACAAAAGATCTACAATAAACAAAGCAACAAAAATCATGGATTCAATATTAACTTTTAATTGAGGACTAAAGACCAGAGCAACCAAATCACCAAAATTGGCAATATGAAACACGTGTTAGAGAGGAAAAAGCAGATCAGAGAAGAAAGAAAACCTGCAATATTTTATTTAATGCTTTTGATAGAGCAGGTTTCAGATCACCAGGATGCAATTGCCCGCTTTCATAGTCTGCAACTAGTTCTTCAATATTGTTGAAGGTCCTGAATTTCAAACACGCACACACATACAAAGGCAAGACCATCAACAAAGAGCAATTATGGTCAAGAATTGAGAAGAAATAAAATCATGACACACCAGACAAACACAACAATCTGGCAATTTCAAAGAATTACAATGCTTTGATAGGTAAGTCTGAGAAAGCAGTGGCAGTGGCAGTGGTATCAATGCTGAAATAGGATCATAGACTACTTGCATGAATATATGAATGAAATCAAAGAGAAGAATAGTTGACAATATCATCAGAAGTCAAAGATAACTCACTTTTCACCACCATTGTCAGGGCCACGTTCAACTTTGAATTCGTGAAACCATGGGAAGATAATGTATTTCAGGTATTCCAGGCATGGGTTCCCTTCAACTACCATCGGGGGGCAATATGCCTTCTTTATCTTCAAATTTACTTCAGCCTGCCACAATAATTACATGTTACAATACTTTTATATAATGAACATGCACCAAAAACTAAAAATAAGTCAAATTCCAAATGGGGCTTTATGTTACAAGTCAGTTCAACACTGAACTCAATATCCATTACCAAATACTGCAAAAAAAAATGACTCCTTAACATTCCCTTTGTGAAGCACAGTACAATACCTCTTCATCCTCCATAAAGATGGAAGATGAGGGATCACTTTTTGACATCTTCTCCTGCCCTTGCTGCAAGCCAGGAAGCATGTCTGCATGTCACAGTAAACAAGAGAAACTAACATCTTATGACAAGGAATATGAACTCAAGTAAAGTAGGAAGAATCATATAGGGGCATACGGTGAGACAATATGATAGGCTTGTTTTTCCTCTTGATGTCATCACAATACTCTCTCGCAAGGACATTCACTTTCCGCTGATCCATGCCCAGTTGACAGATATCAGCCTGTTGAGATTAACAGATTGTTATTAATTTGTATTATCAAAATGCACAATCAACACACCTATCAAAGTCACCTATAAATCTATGACCAATTGATAATTATTATCTGTATGTACAACTAAACCAACGGAATATCTTACAAAGTAAACTACAATCATACAGATACTTTAGCAAGAAAGTTTATAGTTGTCTCTACAGTCTGTGCTAATGGAAGTAATGAGAGTTCACATTCATATGAGTAACCACAAGATGCATATAAAAACTAACCAATATAGAGCTTTTAGTTTCCTTACTTCAAAAGAAATCATAGGAAACAAATCACACGTGAACCCAAAAACAAATATACAAAAAAGTTATTCCTTATTTGGTCCTGCTCTAATCTTTTTGCAACAAGCCCTAAACAAGTTACTCCCTCCATCCCAAAATCATGGTCCCTTTTGGAGAATCTAACTTTTTTTTATAGTACAATTATTATATTTTAAAATACTAATTTTTCAAAATAACCTTTTGATAGTACATTTTTTGAAAATATCAATTGTCATAATTGTACTTCTTGTGTTATTAATGGATTTAAAAGAAAGGAAAAATAAAAAATTTAAATTATTTTATTCCGTGATTTTTGAAAAGGGACTAATAGTTTGAGACAATCAAATATGGAATAAGGGACTAATATTTTGCGACAGAAGAAGTAATTATTATTTTCTTTGTAATCCACTCCTGGTCTCTCTTACCAATTGCATTACCAAAAAAAAAAAAATACATCCCTTACCTGCAAAGATGACAGAACCTAGGTATTCAAGAAGAATACACCCATATACCACAATGTGAGTTGAGTTGACAAAGACGTCATTACAATCACCTCAGCATAAGTACATTTTCATAAAATTAAAACATTATCACTCCTTGAGTCTTACAACATTGTACAATTGAATGAGGTGAACACAGATCTTGCAACCATAGGTAGCTGGTTGAGAAGAAGAGGTGAAGGGGATAGGGGCATGAGGTTGGTTGGATTTCTTCCATAGCCAAATTTAAGTATTGAATAAAGTTTTAGAAGGCAATTGCGTAAAATGAAGTGTTATACCCCTTGGGAGGAATAAGCATTTCAAATTCTGAAGTTTTATATTTAGTTTTGAAATAAATAGAATATTTTAAAGTAGTAAAAAAGTTAAAAATTAAATATAAATGTATAAATACATACTCTTCTCACCGAGTTGTCAAACATTTAACAGCAAAGAAAGAAACTTGCTATCATTGAAGGTGAAATTATTCAACTTCTCACTCAAACCTTGGCTTAGTGCCTTTTTCTTTTTGCTGATCATTTACTTGATTTTTCTCATGGGTATTGTTACAAAAGAGGTTATTCTTGTTATGTTTAAACATGTATACACTAAGTTTAACAATAGTCCAAGGCAAACTCTCCATATGCATATTTCTCCAATGTTTATAAGCGAAAGACATACAAGGCGCACTTGACGTGCACACACCAAACTATGATGCACAAGCATTTGGAGAGTGTTTGAGGCCAAGCTCAATAATGACTTTTAAAACTTCGGTACTGAAAACTGCTTGAATCAACAGCCCAAAGTAAATAAACCCATGATCCATAAGAAGTAAAGGTACCTTAAGGAAAAATATATCAGCACATTGCATGCATGGGTAGAAAATTTGGGCTCCCTTTAACTCATCCTGCTCACTGCGACCCATAATCTGGACACACCTGCAAAGGATCTAATGTTTAGTTGTGCTAGATTGAATCCCTATCCATGAGAGTAATTCCAATCTGAAATCTTCTACCTCGTTAGCCTAGCAAGGCTGTTCTTTCTTGCAATGTCCAATACAACAGGGAAGTAGTCACGCGGCCGGGAGCAAATTTCTTCCGAAGACCATAAAAATTCGACTTTATCACCTTGGAGATTTAACCCTCCCGCTTTCCATATCTCAATCATGTACTGTCCAACAGTTTCAATTTTGTTCATATCGCCCCCCATTTTATTGTTCAAAAGTGCAAACCAATCTGCGACCCAGATCTTAACTTTGCAACCAGCAGAAGTCAGTTTGTTGACACTGATTATCTTCATAATACCCTGTTCAAAAATAAAATGAAAATGAGAACACACCCAATCAAAACATGTTACCACAGTTTGGAAAAGCAACAATTGAAAGAAAATTTTGAACTTATTACCACAACAATCAATCTTTTCTAAACACCAGTCAACAAATAAATACACAGTTCAACAGACTGCCGGGGAAAAACCTAGGATTAAGAAAATTGATGCACTACCACTCAAATAATTTTAAACCAATTTAGTTCAATGATCTCATCAATAAGTTGAAGATTTAACCCACAAAAAAAATTAAATTAAATTAAATAGAAGAACTTTCTAAGGACAGAGTGGTTAGCTACACATGAACTACACAATAAAAAATGAGCTTCAGATTACAGTATAACTTGTGAAAATCACAAATCTTCGAAAAGGTAAGTGCATTTTGATAAATTTCTGAAGAACAGACCTGGGCAATGTGCATTCGACCGGAGGGTTCAAACCCATCGTAGCAAACAGGTTCGGGCTTCTTGGTGAGAAGGTTTAGCAACTCATCCTCTTGAATACACTCTTCCCCAACACTCCTCACGATCCTGAACTTCTCTTCAACACTCATCACCCTATCACAAGCAATTCACCAATTGAACTTTCAATTTCACAATCACACACACACCTCTACACATTCAATTATACGAAACAAACATATATATATATATATATACACACAAGTATAGGGACTTACACGGATGTGGAATTTGAGGAATTGGAGGCCGGAGTCTGGGGACTCTTGGGAGGCACTCTATCTGGGGTTTGATGTGTTGTTGGTTTAGCGGCATCGGCGGCGGCGGCGGCATCGGCAGTAAACAAAAGATCAAATCAAACCCATCAATATATGCAGAACAGCAGCAGAACACATCTAAGTAAACAAAAGATCAAATCAAACCCATCAATATATGCATATATATAATCAACAGAACTGAAAAAAAGTAAACAAACAGAGATAAAATTTTGAATAGCAGCAGCAAAAGAAATAAAATCAATCCCATCATCAATACATCAAGACAATAAAAAATAAATACATATTATACAGATGTTAATGGGTTACATTTTGCGATGAGATGGAAACCAACAGTGTCACCGAGAGAGAGAGATAGAGCAAGAGACCAAGCCGCTAGCGATCTGATCTGAGATGAAATCACAAGAATAGAGAGAGAACTCAGTTGAGAAAGAGAAGAGAGAGAAAGAGCATACTGGTCTGAGATGGAAACCAACAAACAGTGTCACCGAGAGAGAGCTCACCGATCTGATATGAGATGAAATAACAAGAACAGAGAGAGAGAACTCAGTCTGAGAAAGAGAGGAGAGGAGAGAGAGAGAGAGAGAGAGATGAGAGGCGTGTGATATGTTGAATAAGGCTAGGGTTTATGGGTCTATGTTGAATGAAGGGTAGGGCTTATGGGTTTTTATTTATATGGAATAAAAAAAAATATTGCGTAGGAGGATGACGTATGGCTTTCAAACTAAGCCTTTTTGCATATTATTTCTCAAATTAGGTCTTTTTTGAACGTATTTTTCAAATTAGATTAAAGCACTATTTCGAATAGCACTTTCACTGTTTGAAACTCAAAATTTGATGAATAATGAAAGTGTTATTCGAAATCGCGATTTTAATTAAAAAAACGCTATTTAAAATCACGCTTTTAATATAAATTTTTTTCTGAAAAATACGTGGTTACACTTTTTTTTTTTTTCCCAAAAAACTCAAATACAAATCGCGCTTCTACTATTCAAATACAAGATCGCGTTTTCAAATGGCGTTTTCAAATCACACCAAACCAACGCACACACCCCCACAGCACTCACGCACACTCTGACACACACCTCCCATCACACAATATAATTGAAAAATATAATTTTTATATATAATAATAATTAAATATATATAATAATTTATAATAGTAAATAATAATCAATTATATAATTTTTGTAAATATAAATCACTTTGCTTGGTTTTCATTTTTTAAAAACAGTTTTCAGAAAATTCTATATTCATACTTTTCGTATTTTTTTATTTTTATTGAATGTTTTTAATATTTTATGTAAATTTTTTGCTTTTTAGACACACCTAATATAAATACACCTAAAAAGTAAAAAAATTGTAAAAAAAAACTTTTAAAAATTCACTAAATACCAAAAATATAAAAAAAATACAAGAATTTAGTTCATTTTTTGTATTTTTATGTATTTCTTAATTTTTTAAAATATTTTTTCACAATTTTTTTATTTTTTAGACACATCTAAGTAAGGTGCATTAAAAAAAGTAAAAAAAAATGTTTAAAATTTTAAAAATATTCACTAAAAATAAAAAAATACGAAAATCAAAAAACTCAATTTTTAAAAAGACATATTTACCCTTAACCTTTACATATACTTTAAAGGGTAAATTACATTGACATCCTCTGAGGTTACGAATCTCCCCTGACATTTAAAAAAAAAACAAACTAATTTAATAAAAATAAATGTGAAGAAATTAATTTAATTTGTAAAAAATTATTTCTAACCACTCAAAAGATAAAAATTATATAAAAATAATTTATATTTACAAAAATTATATAGTTGATTATTATTTATTATTATAAATTATTATTATATATATTTAATTATTATATATAAAAATTATATTTTTCAATTATATTGTGTAATGGGGGTGTGTGTGCCAGAGTGTGCGTGAGTGCTGTGGGGGGTGTGTGTGTCAGAGTGTGTGCGTTGGCTTGGTGTGATTTGAAAACGCCATTTGGAAACGCGATTTTGCATTTGAATAGTAGAAGCGCGATTTGTAATCGCGTTTTTTGGAAAAAAAAAAAATTGACGTTTTTTTCAGAAAAAATTTTTATGTTAAAAGCGCGATTTCAAATAACGTTTTCTTAATTAAAATCGCGATTTCGAATAGCACTTTCACTATTCATCAAATTTTGGGCTCCAAACAGTGAAAGCGCTATTAGCGCTTTAGCCTAGTTTGGGAAATACGTCCAAAAGAGGCCTAGTTTGGGAAATAGGATGCAAAAGAGGCTTAGTTTGGGAAAAGCCCCTGATGTATAGCATAAATATAGATTATTTATATACAGTTTGGATTGGTTCTAATCTGGAACAGTGTGGTTCAATTTGAAATCGATTGATGAACTATAGATTTTTAAATTTCTAATCTAGAATTGAATTACATATTCAAAAAATTAATCTAAACCTACCGAATTAGATTGGACTTGACCAAATCAAATTACGAATTATCCGAATTCCTTACTCAGCCTTATGTAAAATATAAAAATCGTATGCTTTTTATTTTACCTAGCAAAGGTAAAAATAGTATGTTTCTTATTTTACCTAACTAAGACTTATTTTAACAATTGAATTAAAAGTCAACTTTTTATTTTTTTGACTTTTTTTAGGTTATATTATCTATTTACTTTTTGCATTATCTAAAAAACATCAAAAAAATTGACTTTTAACGTACTTCTTAAAATATGCCTTATTTTTCAACATTGTTATTTATTTTATATATTTATTAATTTAAAGAGTCTCACAATTAGGGGTGCAATTCGGACGGGTTCGGTCGGGTTGAGAGGTTGTCCAAACTCAGCCCAAGTTGTGCTGAGATTTGCCCAAGCCCGCGCCAAACACGAATTGTAACCCGAGGTTACATGCCCAAGTCCGACCCAAATTGCTCGAGTTGTCCGAATTGCCCGAATTGTATTTATTTTATTTTTTTGCAGCTACATTATTAAATTATTAAAATTTGAATCTATTTACATTTTTTATATATAGAAAATCATTAATACCATCAAAACAAATAATTTATATATTGTAAGAGAGATGCTGCTATAGTAGCCATCTGATTTGTCTACTCTGTCCGTCTGCTTTTGGAGCCATCTGTGAGTAATAGCTTAGTAAAGCTATATTCAACTTTATTTATTTTCTGTATGATGAAATAAGATCTGTTTTCTGCAATGTTATGTTGTGTACAATGAATGATTGTCCTATTTCTGACAAGTATTCATAGCATCCTTGGCATATTTGTTATCTGTTACCCGATATCGGAGGTTTCATTATGGAACTTAGTATAAATGTTATCTGTTACCTACACCGGAGGCTCCATTATGGAGCTCAGCATATCTGTCATCTATTATCCGAATCCGGAGGTTCCTTTATGGAACTGGTTATACATAACCACCTCTGTTCTGCATCTGTTCTGTATCTGTCTGTCTCTGTTTTGTATCTATTATGTTAATGCTAATAGATGTACCACGTATGATTAAGCATGAACTTTGATTTCTGTATATGATTGGAACAAGAATATGAATACGAAACTGTTTCTATCTCTGAAATAAAATAAATGAATCTACTTTCCAAATCTGATATGAGACATCATTCAATTAAAACCCTTTTACTCTGTTATTATTCACTGGGTTTCTGCTCACTCTATTACTTATGTATGTAGGTGATCAGGCGCGTGACCAGGCTGAATAAGGACTGTCTGGATTTCTGTTTTGTCGACCAACCCTTGTGCCTCTCGAGGAGGTTTCGAAAGCCATGTGGTCATGTTTGTGAACTAAGTATAAGACCTTGTTTTCTTTTCTATATTTGAACGAGTTTCTACTTACGTGTATCATGGGCTAAGTCCCCTTTTGGTTATATTTGTATTGTGTGTGACGTAAGACTAATGCAATTGTGACATCACATGTGTGTATATGAAGTTCTAAATATTGTTCTATGTATGTCAGTACAGCTCAATGGACTATGTATGTTTTATATAACTGCTTCCGTAGCCCCCTTTTATGTGATCATCTGTTCAGAGGTCTTTGGTAATCAAAGGATTATTGGCCGGTTACGACGCTAAACCTATAGGAGCGGGTTTAGGTCGTGATACCAAGCTTACAAATTCTTTATTTTAAAATGATATTAATATTAACCATCCGTTTGTACCTCTTCTTATTTAATCCATCTCTGTCGCGTCATTCATTTTCCCTATCTACTATTACTTCTCCCCCTTAACACACAGAAAGTGGTGAAATATTGGAATGCCCAAAACTATCAACATTTTTTTAACTAATAAATTATTTTAACATATCTTTTGATTTAAAATAAATAACCTTGTTAATGTGCGTCTTATGATCTTATCCTGAAGGGTTGTTTGCTTCATGGGATTGAGGTGTGGGATTAGATTCCATATCCAATAAATTTATTAATCCATCATTTGGTTAGTTTAGTAAAGGTCCAACTAATAGTTAAATACACATCATTTTTAGCTAAATAGTTCGGGACTATTTATTTAAGACTGACTGTCTATTGTATTATAATCCGCCCTTATTTAATTTGTCTAAACAAATACTCTCTAATGGTATATGTTACGACACTTGAAATGATTATATAGATTTTATAAAGGTACACTGGAAAAACAACAAAGCAAACAAGGCTAAGCTTTTCTCCTAGACAATCCTATCATATCATACCCCAAAAGGCTCCTAATTTTAGCTGATGGTTCATTTACCACCAAAATTTCCTCTGGTTGATCTGCTCTCAACTTGGCTAATGCATCAACGCATAAGTTCCCTCTTTGTAGACATGTTGAGTTGTGCACTCACATTCTCGCATCATGATCTTGGCATCCACCACTAGGCATGCATTTTTATACATTTTTAATGCATGCATTTTTATGCACAAAGTACAAGTATTTTAAAAGAAAAATTACACTTCTGTGGGTGCTTTCAAAATAAATTTCAAATCAGTGCTACAAACTTTACCAACATTAATAATTGAAATTATAATCTTTTTCATAATTTTGTAATTATTTTTGGTTTTCACCACTAACTCACAATTTTTCCTATTTTAAATTTCTTCACATGTTCCATAAAGAGACATGTTTACAATATCCAAAAATAAATTAGTACAAATCTATCAAATTATTCTATATAATTTTTGCATTTACATATCATTACTCAAAAATAGCTTTCCTATCCAGTTATCTTCCGAAAGGAAAGATGTATTACTGTCATTTGGGTTGTCTTATTTGACATAACTTGTGTTTACAACCTGAAAATGCTGATAATATCCAAGAGAAAAGAAAAATAAGTTTCAGTAACCTAGAATGCAATGACTTGTAAAAAACTGTTAGCCCATGGAATGGATTCTTAATTGATTTAAGCATATGACTGGGATTTTAGGTCTCTCTATGCACATGCACTTACGGGGGCATGCACGTTCTCACACGTTCCTGCACTTAACATACTCATTTACCTGCCATGGAGCAATTATGTGCTATGTTGTGGTTTAGTTGTCTGTTTCCGTGGACTAGATAAGTAATTTTAGCATTTTATACTTTGTAGTGACAATTTGATCAGATCATTTGGCAATTCTATGGTTTTCTGAGGCTGTAATGT